GCTATTAGGTTGGAGGCCATCGCTATTAGGTTGGAGGCCATCGCTATGAGGTTGGAGGCCATCGCTATGAGGTTGGAGGCCATCCATATTAGTTTGGAGGCCATCAATAGTACGAGTAGGTTGGAGGCAGCTATTAGGTTGGAGGCCATCGATAGTAGGTTGGAGGCCATCGATATTAGGTTGGAGGTCATCGCTCTTAGACCTTTAAACCTATTGCTTCTTTTTCTGAAGTACCGAGCTTGGACTGCGATTTTGTATCTGCGCTCAGTGCGAGGAGCGGAATTCATCGAAGCAGCGGGCAGTTTCCGTCACCTGTCTTCGGTGATTTTGGCATGGATCTATATTATATATGTAATATGTTCATAATATGTTCCTTTTCGACAGAATTAACATCCTGACCAGAAGAGAGGAAAAGAGCTAACAACCCAACCGTCGGCCCTAATTAAAGGGGCCCCTACCTTCTTCTTTCCAAATGCACTTTGGTTCTTCCTGAGCTTAGTCTGGTCACAATATCATCCATACAGCAAACGCTTAACTCCATTGCCGTTTCATCGACCAAACATACTGCACTGACCTCGTCCGGCTGGGATTGTAAGTCCTCACAAAGGTACGATTGCGGACCTTCAACTTCCTTTCAGTCTCAGAATTGGTTTATATAAGTGTCAATTCAGGAAATGAAAACCATTGGTTTCCTTTAGATTTCCCTTAGCAAATTCCATTGATTCAGGAGAGCTTCTAGTTCCTAAAGCCTTTGCTCCAACAGCTTGACCTTGCCGCGGGCTGAAAACGCCAAGCGGAGATGATTTTGGTGTTTCGCATATTGAGACGCGAGACCACTCAAACCACAACAATTTGGCATTCTATTTTTGACCGAGGCCCGGCCTCCCTTAATTAAGTAGGCGCCTACTTAATGAAGTAAGGAGGCAAGCTCTTGGGTAGGACGCAGGATAGCGCTCGCACTGTTCATTCGGTTCCTAGATCTTTCGGCTGATTTGGACTTCCCATTCGTGACTTTCGCGCAGTGAAGTCCTGGCTTTGCTTCAGCAAAAACTCTTCCAAACTGGATAGCGTGGCCTGAGATGAATGGATTCGATGCAACGAAGAGTCCCTGAAACCGTTGGAGGAATTGGGTTCCAAACCTTTGGCTCCTGTGTGACAGTGACTGAAAGAACCCGGACGAGCAAGCAAATTGTGCAGCGAGCTGGATCAACTGCGCAAAACTCCTATCCAAACGACTCACTACTGAACCACTGAATGTGTTGTGAACATCAGTAAATCATGAGGGTGATCGTACAGGCTCCAATCACAACATGTTCATAAGATTTCATAAGCCGCTACTTCTGGAAATCCATGATAGCCCGCATCAAAACTTCAAAGCCCACCATTGTCACAACCCCAAACACCCATCCCTGGCCTGTAGCCCTTCAGCTTCTGCAATCCTTGGAGACCAAGCCGATGATTCCAATGATGTCGGTTTCAGCAAATCAGCTAATTGGAGCTTCCATGACTTGGTCGTTTTCTCCATTTGCTTGAAGAAGCCAAGGGTCGTGTCAATTGTTGCCGACATCTCTTGCAAAGACTTCAGCATTGCAGAAAGGCTCTGCTCAGACTCCTGCTGCAAACACATACAGCGCGCGGCATGCGCTGGGTGGTGGACATTTCCGAATCCTACACTGTCCCTGAGGTCGCATATGTTTACAACTCTTCAACTTGGCAAGGGGCCGTCATGGCACACACCTCGAACACACACACACACACACCCATGCACACACACACACACACACACACCCGCGCGCGCGCGCGCTCATATGTATGAGCCATCATTTCGGTAAACCCCTGTTGTGGAACATATCTCAAAATCTTAGCAGCATTCAAAATGTCATGAAGCACCAACATGCAATGAAAACTGCAGCATGGCTCCACTGGACAATAAGTGATGCTCATCTCATGATCTCATTGTCAATTCCTGCATGACGCATACATGTGTTTCAGTGATTTTCGTCCGACCGACATATCTCGGATCAATACAGGGCCCTTGACGCCACCCCGTGCTACGACATATGGAAAACAGGTGATTCGATTTCGTGTGAACTTGGCCGAGACTTCGTGGGCTTGTGGACAACCAAGTTGATATTGGTAGCGGAGCTGGCGACGCTCCTCCCAAAGTATTCGGACGGTGATCTTTGTGTTTGAAGAGTTCCTGAAGATCTTGTGAAAGGGTTTTGAGGTGCTCATCTCACTGTTCGTGTTCGGCGAGGCAATACTATGTCTCAAGCTTTCGGAGGGGCCGAGCGCAGTTCGCCTAGGAGATACGCAGGGACCAGACGCGCCAGAACACCTCGTGATCAAGATTTCCCAGAAGAACCACGAGAACGAGCGAATGGTGGAAGACCCGACACTGGTGGAGGCTTCAGAGGACTGGACTCAGGACTGTCTAAAGCTTGCCCTTCGACAGATGGTTTGAACCAGAAGAACTACAGAAGTTTTCGACGACGTGTTGAGTTGTTCGAAAGACAGTGCCATCGTCGCAGTGTTGATACGGCAGTTGAGGGTGCATTGTTACTCATTTCAAGGTTGCAAGATTTGGCTTGGGATTCAACAGAACAGATTTCTTTCGAAGCATTGGAACGCAGTCCAACGCCATTTACATTCGTGTATGAGATTTTGGACAATTTGTATCAGTACGAACAACAAGTTGAAGTACCATCCCGTTGTGAAGAGTTCTTTGCAGAGTTCCAAAGGATGAAGAACGAAGACATGACTTCATACCTGGTCAGGCATCGAACATTGGTGAAGCGCATGAGGGATGTTGGTGTTGAAGTACCAGCCCTTCTCAGCGGCTGGCATTTGTTGACACGTGCTGGAGTTCCAAAGTGGACACACGTTCAAGTCAAAGCATTGTGTGGTGGTGACTTGGACTATGAGAAGGTTCACAAAGCTTTGATGAAGATGTTTGGCGGTGACCACAAGCCGAATCCGAAGGACCTTCAGAGGACAACAACGACAACAGAGGTATACTTTAAAGATGATTATGAAGTTGTCGATGACGAAGGTTACTATGGTGAAGAAGACACAGGCGACTGGTGGGAAGAAGAAGTGAATTATGAAGAGTGGCATGACGAAGAAGAATGGACAGAAGATCTTGAAGAAGCAGCGGATGCCACAGAAGAAGCTTACATTTCCTACCTGGACAGTGGTCGAAGGATGAGAGAATTAGCTCTTTCCCGATGATTTTACCCAGTTGTGGCCATTGGTCCTGAAGCAGATGGTCGCAGTCAAAGCAAAGGAAAAGGAAATGGAAAAGGAAGCTCAAAAGGAAAAGGAAAGGGCAAAAGCTCCAAGGGAAAAGGAAAAAGTAAAGGAGGTGGTTTTCGACGCACCTTCGACAACAGACGACCCATGTCAGGTTTGAGGAGACCTACATCAAGCACAAGTGCAAACAGCAGTGACGTGAAGTCAACCCTGACAGGTTCAACCAGCAGTCATGGCCCCAGATTCAAAAGGTTTCGTGTGCAGTCAAGTGGTGTGAAGGAGGTTCCAGAAGAACAAGTTTCGATGGTGGAGGAGACAGCCACCGTTGATGAGTGCTACTTTTCCTCCTTGTTGCCTGGTAGAGCGATTGTTGATTCAGGTGCAACCAGGACAATTGTTGGAGAAAAGGTTTGGCAAGGATGGTTGGAACATGCACAAGATTTGCCAGTACAGGTCACGCAGGTTTCAAGAGATTTCAAGTTCGGAGGAGGTGAAACGCTTCGTTCAAGCTACGACATCACCTTCCCGGTACAGGTACGTGGACAAGACCTGAGCGTGACTGCATCGGTGGTTCCAGGAAAGACTCCTTTCCTTCTGGCAAGACCTACGCTGGAAGAGTGGAAGGTGCAACAGGACTATGCAAAAGGCAGTCTGAAGATCAAAGATTCAGATTGGTTCCAACCGGGAAGAGGTCAAAAGGGACACTACATCGTGAACCTCCTGCAGCTTTCCGCAGAAGCATTGGGAGTTGAAGAAGTGCTGGCCATTCCAGAAGATGTTGTCGTGCAGTGGCCCGTACAAGATGATACATGGTACATTGAACCGTCCACAGAAGCGGAAGCAACCGGAGAGTTGCCCCTCGTGGAGTTCGAGATTGAGGATGACACCATGATCGAAGAAGCCATGAAAGCAGTGGAGACCGACAGGTGCATGACTTTCTTTGAAGTCTACGTGGATGAAGGCCAGTTGTCGCAGAAGCTTCTGAACAAGTATGCAGATGTGAGTGTGGCCAATTTTTCTTTGCCAGAATGGGACTTCAAGAAGAGTCATGTGAGAAAGGAGTTTTTGAAGTTGATGAGAAAAGAACGGCCTTTGCATGTGTGGTTAGCTCCACCTTGCACCAAGTGGTCCGTCATGCAGAACCTGAATGCATTGACGGAAAAAGGAAAAGAGAAGCTGATGAAAGATAGAAGTGAAGAGGAAGAGTCTCATCTCATCTTCGTGGCTCAGGTCTTTGAGGTCGGAGAAGAAATTGATGCTGGAGTCAGCTGTGAACATCCTCGTGGAGCCAAGTCTTGGGAGACCGAGACCATGCAGAAGCTGAAGGAAAGATCGGTGATGGATGCCGAGTGTGATCGATGTCGAACAGGTCTAGTCTGCCGAGACAGTGGAGGAAATGTGTTGGGAAAAGTGAAAAAGCCAACACGCATCAGAACAAGCAGTCCCTTCGTGTATGAAGCTCTTCATTTGCAATGCCAATGTCACAATGGTGAGCATGTGAGAATGGAGGGGCGATCCACGGCTTTGAGGAGAATGCAAAACTACGAAAGTGGCTTCACAGAAAGGGCAGCAGACGCCATTCATCAAGACATGTTGAAGAGATGGCAGGCTCAAGAGACCTTGAAGATCTTCATGGCCGACGAGCTCGATGAGATGGAGATTGAAGAAGAGCAGAAGAAAGAAAGGAAAGGCAACGAAGAAGACAAGGAGATGATGAAAACGCATGGGAAAAAGGCACTCCAGATCGTGAACAAATTGCACAAGCAGTTGGGTCATCCCGGAAATGACAAATTGGTGAAAGCATTGCAGGATGCCAAATTCCCAGAAGAAGTTGTGGGATGTGCTAGAAAGTACAAGTGTGACATCTGTCAAGGAGAAGCATTGAAGAAAAGCGCTAATCCAGGCACTTTGACAGAAGCCACCTACTTCAATGAGATCATCGAGATGGACACTTTCCACATGAAGTGGAATGATGAAAAAGTTCGCATCCTGGCAGTCATTGATTTGTTCACGAAGTATGAGGTGAACGCATTGTTGCCAAGAGAAACAGAAGAAGCAGAACTGCAAGTGCTGGAGGAGTTATGGTTCCATCCTTTCGGCTTTCCAAGTCGATTGAAGACAGATGCTTCGGGAGCACACATGAGCCAGAAGTTTCTGGACGTCATGGACCAATACAAGATCAAGCTGGTGCTGATTCCAAAGGAGGCTCATTTCAAAATGGGTACTGTGGAAAGATTGCATGCAGTGAGGCGTCTACAGTTGCTGAAGATGAAGAAAGAGATGCCCAATGTCGATCTGCAGCAAGCAATTCGGACAGCATGCACACAGCGCAATCGGCTACGCAACATTCATGGCTCATCACCAGCTGACTTGGTCTTTGGCAGAGCTCCCAATGCATTGGCAGGTCTCATTGATGAACCTCAAGATCTACGACCAGATTTGCCGGCAGCAGCTCAAGATTTGGTAGTTCTCCGGACTCTTGCAGCCAAGACATTTCATGAAGCCAACAATGATGCCCTTCTTAGACGTTCTCTTTTGGCAAGACCAAGGTCCGACCATGAACCTTTGCCACTTGGTTCTTGGGCCTATTACTGGCGGCAGGGAGATTCCAAGCTCGAAAGCTCTCGATGGCGGGGACCTTCTTTGGTTTGCATGGTTGAGCCAAAACCCATGAGCAATTCCGAGAAGTTTCGACCTCATGTTTACTGGTTAGCTCATGGTGCCTCTCTCGTTCGTGTCGCTCCTGAACACATTCGTCCAGAGTTGCCACGAGAACGGTTGGCACGGTTAGAGAACATGCCAGATACAGCTCAATCCACACCGGTTCAAACCCAAATCCTTGACACCTTACGTCCTGTTCGCGGTCCCGTTCGGTTTTTGGATTTGTCTTCTCAGCAATCTCCTTCCCTTGGGGGTACCTCTTTTGCGAATGCAGCGAGTCAGGGTGCATCCGTCGTTTCGGCGTCGGATAACACTGCAACCGATGCCCCGGCATCGGAGAACACTGCAACCGATGCCGAACAAGATGCACCAGCTACATTGGCAAGTGTTGCTGAGAAGAGTACAGGTGACACCGGAGTTGATGCAGAGATGCAAGAGCCAGAAATTCCAAAAGAAGAAGATGCCAGAACACAGAGAGAAAGATCGAGAAGTCCACCCGCCAGAGATGAGAAAGCCAAAGCCTTTCAGTCCTACAATTTGTCCCGACAGTTGGATGGAATGCCTCGAGTTGAACCCGGTGATGCAGCCTTCGAGAAACACTGGGAACAGATGGTTCAGCCCATGGAGGAGGACGAAGATTTGATGGCTGAGTCATTCCATGAATCCAAGCTCACGGACAAAGAGCGACATGAGTTCAGCGAGGCGAAGGACAAGGCACTACGTGTTTGGCTGGATAACAAGGCTTGGAAGGCTGTTCCTGAGACGGAGGCCAAGGACGGCGAGGTCATTCCAGCAAGATTTCTGCAGAGATGGAAACCGACGAAAGAAGGAAAAGTGGCGAATGCCAGAGTCATAATCCAAGGATTCCGTCATAAAGATGTTCTCAATGAAGAGCTGGATCGTGAGTCGCCGACTTTGAGCAGAACAGGTCGCATGTTGATCCTGCAGTGGGCTTGTCAGTTGGGATGGAAAGTCTTTGCAGCGGATGTGAAAAGTGCTTTCATGCAGTCCAAGTCCATCGATGAGGAAACCCGCATCTATATCCGACCCACTGCTGAGATGAGGAGACGATTGGAGAGACTCATGGATCTCAAACCATGGGAGCTTCTCAAAGCCACCAAACCGGCCTTCGGTGACGTGAGAGCACCAAGGCAGTGGTATGAGTCAGCAAAAGATTTTCTGATCAATGAGGCCCAATTCCTTCAGCATCCATTGGACAACTGTGTTTTCCTGAGCGTGAGGTTTGCATACAGAGGAGATCATGATTTCCAAGTGTTTGAACACCAAGGCAAGCAATACATTGTCGATGGGATTCTTGGTTTGCATGTTGATGATTTCCTTGGTTGTGGCGAAGGAGTGCATGCAGTGGAGGATGTAACCGGAATCCGTGAGGAGACAGAAGCGCAGAGGACAACACATTGTTTCAAAAGCAGGTTGCAGAGTTTGGCACAAAAGTTCAGGTTCGGCAGTTGGGACTTTGGTCGCAAATCCAAGATCCTGTTTTGTGGAACATCATTGGAGCAAAGCATTGGGTATGACAGCTTGACATTAAGCCTGAAAGAATATGTGCAGAAGATCAAGCCGATTACCTTGGACAAGCAGAGGAAGACCATGAGCGACGCACCATTGGAACCCAAAGAAACGAAGATGCTGAGAGCACTCATTGGCGCGTTGGCTTGGCCGGCAGGACAATGCCTGCCTCAGTTGTCCGCTTCAATCTCATTGTTGCAAGCATCGTCGAGCAATCCAACAGTTGGTGACATTGTGCAAGCAAACAAGTTGTTGAGATTTGCAAAAGACGTTGTTCAAGGCTACAACATGACCTTGAGGCGACATGGACAAAGCTTGTCGGAGATGCGCTTTGGTGTGTACATGGACGCATCATGGGGAATCAGGCCTGACGGCTCTTCTCAAGGTGGGCACACCATCTTCATCGGCACAGAGGATGAGATGAATGCAGGGAAGCCTTTTCCTTTGACCATCATCAGCTGGCATTCTCGAAAGTTGAACCGCATGTGCAGGTCTTCATTGTCGGCAGAAGCACAGTCAGCAGCGAGCGCAATTGATGAAGTTGAATGGACCAAGATTTTCGCTGCTGGAATGGTCAGTCCCTACATCTCCATTGCTGATGAGGGCGTGCTCCAGATGTTCGGCCCGACTCCTGCGTTGACAGATGCAAAGTCTCTTTTCGATTCTGCAAGGTCAGTGTCTGCAGGTCTGAGGCTTACAGAGAAGAGAACAGCAATAGAAGTCGCAATTGTGAAGGAAAGGTTAGCTGCGATGCTTGGAGAAATGAAGTGGGTGAACTCGGCACAGCAAGTTGCAGATGGGCTCACGAAACCAGGAGCCAAAGATAGTTTCTCGCATGTTCTCAGGCGAGGAGTTCACTCCTTGAGGTTTGATCCAAACTTCACGGCGGCCAAGAAGGTAACGAGAGAAGAGAAAGAAGGTGAAGAGAAAGAACACGATGAAGCCGCCAAGATGCTTTTCCACGGTGAACTGTTGATGACCGAGGAGATTGCAGCTGGAGTATGCCAGAAGCCCGGTTGTGGGAAGTCGCTTGATGCTTCACAGCAGCACCACAGGTATTGCAGTCGAAGACATTTTTACAAGCACTTCAACCAGCGCAAACTTGGTGAAGACATGTGGAAGAAAGCAGCACAGATGGCAATCCTTACGTTGGCAACACAAGGTGCAGAGGAAGCAGGTGTTGAAGCAGCTGATACAAATCAGGCAGCATCGGGAAACACTGCAACCGATGACTTCCGAGTTGTGTTGACATTGTTAGTGATTTTCCTGTTTTCATTCCTTAGCATGCAGAACGTTGCCTTCAAAGCATACAGGTGGTTTTTGAGCATTGTGCAAGTTCTTTTTCCCCAGCCAGTGATGGTGAATGAGAACGCGATTGAAGAAAATGAGGTGAATGACGACGATGAAGTTCCAGAGATTGACTCAGATCCTAGCCATGGCACCATTGCAGAGATGGAAGTCGCACAGAATAACCAGGTGAATGATGATGATGCCGGAAGCTCTTCCGTGAACGATGATCCAGAAGTGTCACCAGAAGAGTGGGATCGCTGGTACCAAATCAAAGAAAGTGTTGAGAATGAAAGAGGACAAAGGAAGTGGAAGAAAATTCTGAATGAAGTGGTCCTCAACTACCAGCACCCCATGATCGACAGCGCGTTGAGAGGAGTAATGATTGAAGAGAACTGGACAGACAACCGCTGCAAGTCTTACAAGAAATTGTTGGACATTGAGGACACCTCCGGTTGCACTTCGGACCAGATTCGCCTCTGGAATCGTCATTGCAATGAAAGGATGCTCTTCATGATTGAGGTGAGTGCAAAGGTGAAGAAACAGAAAGAACAGATTGAGTTGTTGGAACGCACCCTGGCCAGGAAAGAAAGGCTTGAGCAGTTGGAAGGCATGGAGCGCTTTCGACAAAGAGTGAGTGATTGGGAAGTCAAAGACAAGGTGTGCCAGACACCGTTCACTTTCAGTTCGGCGCGCAATAGGTTGGTTGCTCTCCCTGACCATGCTCACGGCTCATACGAGTTTCAGAGCGATTTTTACAACAGGTGAAAAGAGCAATGGCGTCAAGGCCAAAAATTTTGTATTTTCTCCAAAAGGAATTTTACATGGTCGAGATGGGCTCGAACGAAAGAGCTTTCCTCCTGTGTCAATTCCTGCATGACGCATACATGTGTTTCAGTAATTTTCGTCCGACCGACATATCTCGGATCAATACAGGGCCCTTGACGCCACCCCGTGCTACAACATATGGAAAACAGGTGATTCGATTTCGTGTGAACTTGGCCGAGACTTCGTGGGCTTGTGGACAACCAAGTTGATACTCATGTTATATGTTCCACGAGACTAACAGAGTGGCTTCGGAGTGATGCAGGTAATTTCAGTTGCATGCGACCACTCTGACATGAATGACCCGACCGCAACTTCTGCATGTCTTGACAATGGTGCAACAAACAACTCTTGCTCAAAAACCACGCGTGTCAATCCCAAGTCTCAAACAAATCCATTTGATGCCACCAGCCCAATGGCATGCAGTTCACCCTGTGTTGTGCCTCAAGATGATTGACATTTAACGCCAAAGATTTACTTACTGTAGAACCCTGTGTACGTATCCTCGAGAAAATGGACAACAATAACACTCAAGGTGGTAAGGAATTCCTTATACAAACTGCGTTGTTTCCATATGCTTCGCTTCCACGCCAAATCTCCCTCGTTTCGTGACCTTTTGAACGCCGGCGAAGCCGCATCCTTCGCCAGCTCCGCTTCAAGGCCCTTCAGCGGCCCCAGGGCCTTGGCTGCTGCCCGCCGCGCCGCCAGCGGCTCACCGGGCACGCTCAAGGTGCTCCGAAGTTCCTCGAGGCGAACTTACTAATAGCTTCTTGTTACTACTAGTAAGGCACCTGTTACTACTAGCGTAGCACTTGTTACTATTGAACTGTGCTTTTTGCGTTATGGTATGATTATGTCCAATGTATGTACAGTCTATATTTAGCCCGGGGGGATAGGTCGCAGCGTGGGGGAGCTTCCTTGATGAAGCGCTCGCACTAATGATTTGCTAGACTTTTAGGGAAACTGAACTGTTTTAAAATGTTTTAGAGGCCTTTTTTGGAGGACGTTGGTCAGCTACAAGCCATACTTTTATCATATTATACATACCACCTGCTTCGGACCTCTGAAGGAGTTTCATCAAATGTGCAGGATTCAATTCCAGATTCCTCATCTTGCTGTGCTGATCATGTGGAATGCCCCCTTTTTTCTCCTCAATCTTAGTTTTTTGCAGCATATGAAGCACAAATTTTCTTTCTAAATCAAAGAATAAACGCAGCGAGCAGGCCATCGGCTTGTAGATATCTGCCGCTCACTTGCCTGATCTCTCATCCTCCAGCCAGACCAACTGTGGGAGGGTTGGCAAAACCCCAACTCCCTGAGTTCCTCACTTCTCTTCGTTGCGATTGTCTACTGTGCAGGCTTCCAAGCCGAATGGAAGCGAACACTTGGCAAAGGGATGGCAACGGCCCGCCTACTTGCACTTCCTACAGCCAATGAACTGTGTAAATGAGGAGAGTTAGAAGGACCGATGAACCCACAAGTCTGATTAATGAGACCTGATCTGACACACCAGCTTGACGCCCAATCCGAGACCTTATTTGTGCACATCAGCAGACTCGGTGGTCTCTGCTAGTGAGTGCCAGATCCCTTGTTGGAAGAAAACACCTGGGCAAATTGTTTGGGTTATTCCTTTCATTCCCCCTGACGGGTCGTTGATAGACCCGACTGTTGGAACCTATAAAATTCTGTCCAAGGTGCATCCAACGATGTCACAAAGTCGGAGATGTCACCCTCGGCCGCCAGTGCTCTCTCGTCTGCCAGGGCGAAGACTTTCGCCAAGCTCTCCTGGATCGGGTGACCCAGGGCGATGACGGCAGGTGCTGTTTATTCACGAGATCCAGACAAAGGGGTCTCATAAAGATCAGTTCGAAGACATGATTAAATTAACATATATTAAAACGTATTAAAACTATGCCCCACAGCCGGTGTTGAATCATCCAACAGGATTAACAGTCCAAGCTGTAGGTAAGATGTTAGGATTAGGAGAAATAACATGATTTTGCACAACAACAGGACATCTGGAGTCTGCAAAATGGATCGTCAAACTGTCCAAACCATACTCATCCAGCCGGGTCACTTCCAAAGCGGCATGGTCGTCGCTTCCTTGGGAATGCGGCCACCTGACAAAACAGTTATGATGCTTGTTCCAAGCAACCAAACCAGTCGCGCAAAAGCTTTCGCCGTCCTTTGCCCAACACAACCAACTGAGACCTAATTACACTCCCTGATTCCACTTCCATGATTATTTCACGGAGTGTGCTGCCTCTTATTCAAAGTATATTCAAGTTCAAGACCTTAACCCCAAACACCTAGCAATGAACTTTAGACTCTAGACTTCGTCAGCCAAGAGCACCATCGTTGCATCTGAGCCAGTGGGGCTTGGGACTCAGCAAAGTGGTCTTGTGCTAGCTCGACTGCAGCTTGCCTTAGGTTGCACTGGGTAGTCGATATATAAACCGATCATCAAATATGATTTACCATGATTGACCTCTTCAACACGCTGTGCTCCACTCCGACGAATCGACTCCACGGCAGCAACACATACGAGGACAGAAAGAGCACCGCTGAGGTGACGCTTCAAACGGGTTGCTGTAGGTGAAGCTTCACCATGTGAGAGCTGACCTGCACTGCCAAGTGGGTCCGCTTCCAATCAAGTTTTTAGCTCTAAGCTGAGCCAATGCACCCTTGTCACTATTTCCTTTTTGTATAATCCCCTGAATCATGACTGGCATGCAGCGTTGAGGCAAAAGACAAAGCATGGCTAATCCTTCGGGTGAGGGGCATGCCGCATATGTGAAATGTGACTATTGGAGGAGATTCTGTCTCAAATCAAAACTAAGATCTCTGGCGGACTCAGCCAATGAAGTCCATCAACCAGTCCCAATAAAAGTGACACAGTTTTCTATCACAAAAATGCATCGACCACAACGAGTTGTACACAAATGCCGTCCTTTTTTTCATAAACCTTGTAGCATGTGACCTGCGCAGTCAGCTTCTCCACAGTGGGCGCCAAATCCTCCCAGCTACCTCAGCTGCGGGGGTGAAGCTGCTGGGAAGTGAGCAGTTGGAGGCACTGCTCACATCTTGTCAGTATCCCCGCTGTTGATATTGATGTCCTGGGTTTTTGGGATCTCCTGATCTCTCCCGATCTCCAGGTGATGGGGAGGAAAAACATAGAAAATCCTTTGCAGCCCACGACATGGTATCAACATTGACCAAACTTGCCGCTGAATCGCTCATGGCGATTAGATAAGTTCTACATTGGCGGTAGATTTTTCCTTTCGGCACCTCTCGTGGGTGGTTTCTCGTGGGTGAGCTGTTCACCAGGCCACCCTCCGCCACGCTTGACAGTTGCTTCCCTGCGGTGTCAAATTGGGCAATCGGAGAGCGCCTCAGGAAAGTGTGGTTGGTCAAGGTGAAAGAATTGACGCCACTTGGACCTTGTTATCAATTCAGCCAGATTAACCACTTGACGTCGCTTGAAATCAACCAGATTAATCAAATCAAATCATCCCCTATGTCATGTCATCCACTGTGGCTTACCTTGACATCTCACAACAAAGTATCTCATACATTTTCAAAATACCTTTGTCAAGAATGTAAACCAAGAAGGATTCAAGGATCCTGGTATCCAGGGACCTGAGCCCTTCCTGAAAAATGATCTAAATGTTTGCGGCTTTATTCCGAAACAAAACGATGATTCGGAAACCAAGCGTGATTCGGAAACCAAGAAACCATGATTCGGAAACCAAAACGATTATTCGGAAACCAAACATTTTTCGGAAACCAAAAGAAGATTATTCGGAAACTGCCAGGAACGTTATTGCCCCAGCCCCATCCCACCACCCCACCCAACCTACTGTGATTCAGTACCCAGGTGCCATCTCCCACAAACGTTGTTAGCCCAGCCCCATCCCACCACCCCCCAACCTACTGTGATGCAGTACCCAGCTTGATTCAGTACCCAGGAACGTTATTAGCCGAGCCCCATCCCACACATCCCCACCCTAAGGGGGGGGGACCTGTCTAAATGTAAGCTACATTTTTTGCAACTTTGGGCTTAAACAATGTAAGTTACATTTTCTTAGGGACACCTTAAAACATGTAAGTTACATTTTTTGAATACATGTAAGCTACATTTTTTGAGGTTCCGCTTTCTTGACGCCTTTCTGTGTTTACCTTTTTCCTCTAGACCTTCTTCCTTTTCTTCCTGCTATTTTTAAGACTTCCAAGCCAGTGACAGAAGCATGCATGTAAAGTATGTTTTTATGGTTTCGCTATTGTTTTGGTATGATTTGCTATTTTTTCTCAAGCCTTTGGGCAACTCCAGAGCTTGACCTTTTGGTAGCCTTTCCAAGCTTTGGGGAACCTGCCTCCATCCTTCGGAAAAGGGAACCCATACCAAAATCATATCAAAACTATATCAAAATCATAACAAAACCATAAGCGTTACACGTTTCTGATGGTTTAGGGTGGACGACAGTCGCACGACCCCCCCCAAAGCGTGTTTCAGACGTTTCCTGCAAAGGGTTCTCAAAACCAAGAAATGGGGAGGACCTGTCTAAATGTAAGCTACATTTTCTAGACCCCCCCCTCCCCCCCAAAAAAACATTGAAAAATGTAGACAGGTCCCCCCCGGTTTTGTAGAGATAGGGGGTGGGGATTCCCACACCCCACCCAACCTACTGTGATGCAGTACCCAGCTGCCATCTCCCAGGAACGTTATTGCCCCAGCCCCATCCCACCACCCCACCCAACCTACTGTGATTCACCACCCCACCCAACCTACTGTGATTCAGTACAGCTGCCATCATGTTATTGCCCCAGCCCCATCCCACCACCCCACTCAGTACCCAGGTGCCATCTCCCAGGAACGTTATTGGCCCAGCCCCATCCCACCACCCCACCCAACCTACTGTGATTCAGTACCCAGGTGCCATCA